TTTGTTCGACAGCTTCAGACCCTGGAAGCCCCTTATTCACAGGACTGCTGTTGGGTGCTGCCCAGAGGACTCCAACCAAGGCTCTGAACTGGTCCATTCCACTTGGCCCCTCTGCTGAGAATCTGCCTTTTTCTGCCCCAGATAGCCAGAATCAGAAGAGGTCCCCAGGTGATACTCAAAGATACCCAGTGCTTCTTACATAACCTGAGGCTCCCGATAAAACACAGATTGTGACTCAGTACATCAAGACTGGAAAAGCAATGCCACACTGTTATCTTAGTGACACACTCACAGGGGCACAGAGAGGCGAGGGCTCTCTAAATTTCAAGAGAATTGCAGGAACACTGAGATGAGCAAAAGGACAGGGCAATGGTGCACTGCTGACCGGCTCTACAGCCCCTGGGCAGCCCTTGACCTCGGCTAACTAAAATTTCGTTCATCAAAACGTATCACCAGCTGAACCCAATCAATGACAGCAGTCCCAGTCTCAATCCACTCTCAAGCCTGGAGGCCATCAATCCAGAAACCATTTGTCCGGGAAGCCTGCTGAAAGCCATGTCTAGGTCTCAGAAGATGGTTAAGACCAACTCTGTCATTCACATTTTAGAGCGCGCTTCCTTTCCGTAGGAAATATTCCGACAGATCCAAGTCTATTCTGTTTAATCTAAAACGGGAGCCCCAGTTCCACAAGCTGCCGTTTAATCAGTAGCTAAGTCCCACTGGCTTCATGCAGACTTGCATGAGGTCCTTTATCTGGAACTGCTAAAAGCTTCCTCTGTGCTCTGTGACCTAATATGCCGCAGAACAATGGATGTGGGTTTCCTTGTCTGACCACTGTCCTGATATTAATGAGAAACTGTAGGCTTATCTGGATGCTTTCTCTCTCTCTCACACACACACACACACACACACACACACACACAAAATTGTCCTTAATCTGCAGCTTCCGTTTATGCTGTGAATTCTGATGATCTCAAAAAAGGGCACATAATGAATGATTCTTCAGAGAAGAATCTGGCAACTATGGTCTGGAGAAAAGAATTTTGTTTGGTCATTTAACTGTGTGTGGAACTAGTGGACTTCCTCCCTTTATACAGCTTCCACACGAGGACCAATGAGCAGAGTCATCAGCAAAGAGGTCCTGAGACAGGGTATCCAGGCTGTGGTAGCAAATGCAACCACACATTTAACAAGCCCATGAGACTGAAAGGAACCCCAGTGGCACAACAGTTCACTACTACGCAGTTAACCAAAAGACTGGCAGTTCCAACTCACAGGTAGCTCGATGGGAGAAAAGATCCACCAATCTGTTCCCATAAAGGAAAGTCAGCTCTTCTCCACCCTCCAGCATTACTGTGCCTCCAACTTACGGCACAAAACAACAAGTAAGTACCCTTTTAAATTCTGAACCTACCCTGTTGGATAACAAAGGCATCTTAGATAAAGAAACTTCAATCCCAAGAGCTGACAAAGGATCAAAATCAAGTCCTCCCAACTTATGTTTGATAAGCCAGGCTTTCTCTAAATCACTGTTAACTACTAGAAAAAATAAAATGAAGGCAATAAAATACCTTAAAGCTTTAGGCCTATCTACCCTTATCTGAAAATGGCTAGCTTTATTTGGAGTTCAGGCCTCTAGATCATTAAAAGTAGCTCACTTGTCAAAACAAGTCAAAAGGGTGTTTATTCTTCTCACATCTTGATCAGGACTCCATCTCAGCCACCAGTGTTTCCTAATCATTCCTAAATGGAAAGAGAAACCTTCAAATCTATGCTGATTGTATGCTTTCTCCACAGAATTCAACCCCGGCACCTGTCATTTCAGTCCCTGGGTGATGCACACCATTCATTCAAAAGCTCAGCTGTTACTCCAAAAGCTGGAGTTTATACTCCCTCACAGGAGCCTTGGAAGAGAGGCTTGGTGATCTACTTTCAAAAAATCAGCCCCTGAAAACACTATGGAGTGTAGCTCTGCTCTTGACATACACAGAATCGGAACTGACTTGCTGGCAACTAGCACTGGAACTTGTCATTCATGTGCCTCAAATCTATCCACATATCCCTGAGTCACAACATGCAAAAATGGTTATGCAGTCCCACCAAAAAAAAAAATCTATCTAGCTAGCTAGCTAGCTATATATATATATATATATATATATATTCTATATTATTATTTATACACACACATACACTTTACCTATGGTGAAAAGGCTGTGTAATTTATATATATAAAGAAATAAAGAATGTATTTCATATATAGATGCTTTACTTATGGCAAAATTTGATATTTTTATGTATTAGGGAGCACTGGTAGCCTAGTGACAAGAAGCTGCACTTCAATCCCAAAGGCCCACAGTTTGAATCTACCAGCTGCTCAGCAGGAGAAGGATGGGCCAGTTCCTCCCTCAGGATTAACTGCCTCTGAAAACCTGCTGGAGGGTCAGCAATGGGTTGATTCTGACTTGACATCACACACAACATGTATTAGAAGTGAAAATGGCACGATTCTTTCTCAACTACTTTGGACAGTATGTTATCAGAAGGGACCAGTCCCTGCAAGACATCAAAGTTGGTAAAGTCAAGAGTCAGAGAAGAGGAGGAAGACAATTAACAAGATGAGCTGATACAGGGACTGCACCAATAGACTCAAGAACAGCTCAAAACACTTTAAACGCACTGCGGTTGAGGGTCAATTCACAGCTGACCCTCCAAGCAGGTTTTCAGAGGCTGTAAAGGACGCTGGTGGAAACCGCCCACGTTTCTCTTCTGCAGCGTCTGGTCTATCCAAACCACTTCCTTCTGGATTGACAGCACTCCTTACACCCTGGGCCACATGAGATCCTGCAAGACCAGCAGAGACTGTGAAACAATGTGGCAGGACATGGAGTCAGCACCCACCAGAGACTGTGAAACAATGTGGCAAGACATGGAGTCAGCACCCACCAGAGACTGTGAAACAATGTGGCAGGACATGGAGTCAGCACCCACCATGGCACCTATGCCAGCTATGGATTAATTTTCCTGGTTGCTTCATTCTACAGAACTCCAGCAGAGCTAAGGTTTTTAACGCAGTGTTGTCGTTAGGTACCATCAAGTTCGAACCATCCAGAGTGGACTCTCTAGCGAGTTCTCAGAGGCTGTCAAATGCCCAGGAGACTGCCCATCCTTCTCCCATAGAGCACATGGTGGATTCAAACCTAGTGCCTTCGGTTTGGTAGAGTAACTCCTTGGCACTAAGCCACCAGAGCACACTTCAGTCACTCATACCTCCCTAAACCAAAGAATGCGCTAAACAGCATGTAAGACATTTGAAGGAAGATATATTCTCATACATTCCACCCCCCCAAAATATAAAAGCTGTCCAGATTATACAAAAGTTCAATGACAGGTAATAAAGGCATCCGGCAAATGCTCGAATGCCCTTCACATAAACACTCTTCACACACTCTTGTACTCTAGTGTTTATTTCAGTTCCACTGTCTTCCCACATTGCCTTTCCTCACGTCCCAGGTACCTTCTGTGACTCTTACCTGGGCCGCCTAGACACTTCTCACCACACTCCCTGGTCTTATCTACCAGACCAGAAAACAGAATCGCCTTCCAAATATTTGAGCGAAGGCAAGGACAGGCATTTATAGAGCTGCACGACCTGGTACGATGATAACACTCAGCCAAAGGGCACTCAATGACACACCTGGAGTGGCTCTGGGCAACAGCAATTACTATACGCTTCACAGTATCGCTGTAATTTGGAAAATAAGTCTTACTGAGTATGTCTTCTACTTTCTATGCCCGATGAACATGACACCACAATAACTCTTGGTCTAAACTGTATTCCTCAACAGCTACAGGGCTTGAAGTAGTAAACAGGAGGGAAAATAGAAAAAAAAGGTCCCAACCAATACTTGCAAGGTTGGAATCCACGGGTAGGTAAGAGATTTCTAGCCTTGGCAACCTACAGAGACACTTGTCATGAGTTGGAATAGCAGTAGGTTTGGGTTGAGTTGAGTTTTTTGGGGTTCCCTCCCAAAACTCTACAACCTAAGTTTCAGCTGTGGCTCTCCCTAAAATTTAGCTGTGTCACTTTGGGTAAGGCGTTTGGTCCTCCAGGCCTCAGGCTCTTCAGATGTAAAGCAGAAGAAATTGGACTAATTCTTCTCTGAGGCCTCTTCCAACCCCACAGATGCTCCGAATCTGGGAAGCATTCTCTCTCATTCAGTGTTAACCAGCAGACGACTGTGGCAGGCCAGCCTCAATTTAACACATCAACCTTGGGATGCTTTTTTTGGAGTTAAGAGTTTTCTTTAGGAAAATAATGGCTACCTGTAATGGAGGCTGAGAAAATGGCGAAGGGGTGTGGGAGCACACACCGAGGGGGTTAAAAGAGAAACTTCAATCACCCTTAGGCCGATCTGTCAATAGTTATTCAAAGACTGCCACTCTGCTGGCTGGCTTCTTAAAATAGTCATATTTATAGTCGAGCCATTTCCTTCTCATCCCCAGAGATCCATTTCGCATGGAAAGCAGAGCGTCTAAAAAAAAAAATCAATTTACAACTTCAGAACAAGTTGCAGGCAGCAGGAGCAACTCTGCACGGCTCCCCGTGTCATTTGCATGGAAGTGTGATTACAGCGAAGAAACGAACGGTCCTTATGAGAAGATGTGAGAAATGCACACCAGGCAGGTGACATCTGGGACAGGAGGCAGAGGGGCCGGGAAGAAGGATGGAGCCTAAGGACCTTCTGGCAACAGGTCCAGCGCCGACACTGCAGCCTCCTCCCCAGGGGTCGGTCGTGTGACCCGCTCGCCCCAGCCCCGATGGCCTCGCCTCGCCCCCGCTTCGGCCCGTAAGAGGCAGCCCGCCCCCAGCCCACCGCCCTGCGGCAGAAGCCTTCCCCTGCCTCGCTCGCCGGGCCTCCGCGCCCGCCAGGCCCTCTGATCGCCGGCCTCCGGCCCCCGGTGCCCCCGTCGCAGCGGCCCGCAGCCCCCGCCCCGCTCACCTGCACCTGTTTGCGGAAGTGGGGCGGCCCCGGCGCTGCCGGCGCCCAGAAGCAGCAGCAGCAGCAGCGGCAACGTCGGCGGCCCCGGCATCTCGCCCGCGGAGCGGCCCCGGGGCCGGCTCTCGGGTCGTCCGCCCTCCCGTCCGTCAGTCGGCCCGCCAGTCGGTCGGTCCTGCCTCCCTTGGCTGCCTCAGCGACACCCGCGCCGGCTGCTCCCGAGCACACACTGCTTCGGCCCACCCTCCGCCCGGCACCTGGTCGGCACCCGCCGCTCCGGCGGCAGAAACACCATCCTTCCCGCCCTCCCGCCCGCCTGTGCCGCCGCCGCCGCCTCAACAGCAGCAACGGCAGCAGCCCTGCGGAGCCGCGGGCCCGGGCAACCGCGCTCCCACCGCCATGATGGGCTGCGTCATGTGACGTAGGGCGGGGGCGGGACGCCGTGAGTGACGGCGCCGCCGGCCAATCGGCAGTTCCACAGCGGCCCGCGAAATCCCGCCCCTCGCCCTGGCGGAGGGCGGGATGGCCTCCAGGGCGCCCCCTGCAGACGAAGATGGCGTGGGCAGCAGGCAAGAGTGACTTGATTTACACTTAAAAAGGTAGAAAAATTCACAGAAAAACCCGAGCATCCTCTATCCTGAATTTTCCTGAGGTATTTCATAACTTGAAAAAAAAAATTCAGCTTTTTGCTGTTTATTTCCAATGCTCAAGAGTTGAACGCCTCTCCTCTGATTCAGGTCCTTGGCTCTGCCAGGGGTGCCCCGTCCTGCCTGCTCTTGTCCACCTGGCAGACATTCCTTCATTTCTCAAGACTCATCCGAGCCCATGACCTCATAGGAGGAGGGCCGCCAATCCTCAAGAACAATCACCTCGTTTCCTGTGTGCCCCGCTCCGGCCCTGCAGAAATTGCCATCAGCTGTCATATTTTCTTGTTCCTGTAACTGTAAGCTCTCTGAGGGCACGAACTGGACGGGAGTCCCCCTGGTCATCGGCATAGCGCCTGGCCCAAGGCTGTCGTTGCTAGGTGTCCTGGATTCCAACTCAGAGCGACCCTATGGAACAGAGTAGAGCTGTCCCCGAGGGTGTCCCAGGCTGCCAATTTGCTGAGAGGACCCCTGGTGACGTAGTGGTGAAGTGCTGGGCTGCTAATGGAAAGGTCAGCCCTTTGAGCCCACCAACTGCTTATTCGAAGGGGAAAGGATTTACAGCCTGGGGGGCAGGGGGGGCTATGGTTCTTCTCTGCCCAATAGGCTCACTATGAGTTGGGAAGGCCCCATGGCAGAGGGTTTGAATTGGGGTTGGTTTTGGTTTTGGTTTTTTGGTACTCTTTACAGGAGCAAATCACCAGGTCTTTCTTCAGTGGAGTTGAACCACAAACCTCTTGGAACAGAACAACTCTTAATCACTGCTAACGCAGAGTTTCCCAGTAGGAGGAGGGGAGGAGGCTGTAGTTTGAACAAGAGGAGACATTGAAAGGCTTGTTTGCTCTGCTTTCCTGTTTCACAGAACGCAGGGGTTAAGGTACGCATCCCTTGCTGCGTCTGGTGGAAACCTTTGCCCCCTCTGCCCCTCCTTACTGCTCACAGGGTTGCCCTCAGTTTAAGAGGAAGTCAGATGTGGCCAGAGGCCTGAGGATTGGAGCAGGGCCCGGGTTTTTCTGGGGAAGCCCTTGTGGTCTGACTGATGTTCATGAGCGGAACAGGTCTGTCACTGATGGGGTGTACCCAACTGGTAACACAGGAAGCTTCCCTAATTCTCCAGACTCCCTCCATCCGTGGTGTTAACCCAGGGTTGGACCCACCGTCAATGCCCAGGGAACAGCTGAATGATTACACCAAGGCAGACAGCTCCTAAGATGAATCACGGAGTGAGAAATGCCCAGTTAAAGCTTTCTGCTGAGAGGTATATGGGAAACACAGGTAAGAAATAACAAGACAATCACCTTGCTGTGTTCCTACTTCTACCAGGAAGCTCTGGACTTGGGAGTTTGAGGAAGTCAGAGAATGCCCTCCTGCTTTTCACCTAAAGGTGACTGTATTTGCTTGCAGAGCTGCCGGCCCCCACAAATGCCCTGCCTCATCCTTGGGAGTGGTCAACCATCATCAACCTTGCCGTGCGTCAGACCACAACCTAGAGCAGGTTTTGTTATTAGCCAAGCAAGACCAAAACTTGAAATCTGTTTTGACTTTGCACTTCGCAGCACAGGACTTAAGGCACCCATTCCATTCATTTCATGTTGAAATGAAAACCTTTACCCACCCCCCACCCCCGCCCCACAGGACTGCTCACACCCTCGGCTCGCCCTGCGTTCCTGTTCAAGAGATCCAAGTACAGACTTTCTAAAGCAAACAAAAGAACATTTGGGCTTTGTTTTGTTTCACCTAGGAGTCAGAAAACAGCCCTTGGCGCCTACTGGGGTTAGAGCTAGAAGATGGGAAGTGAGGAAGCCAGCTCCCACACGCCTTCAGCCCTTCTCACACGTGCTCACTCTGGCCCGGGCACCCCTGATGCTAAGGCACTGCCTGGACCACCCTTCCGTCTGGCGGCGTCTGGCCCGCTAACAAGCTCTGGGTGCTGAGGGAGCTGTGGGCTGTTCAGACCTGTGAGAACAGGCACTTCTGCAGGGCCTGCACAGGGAAGCTTTGCAGAATTGGATTGAATTGGATCAAACAGGCACGCCCACAAGGGACCGCCTCTCGGTGTGCTGGAGCTGCTGATAGCAGCTCCTCTGAGAGTCCACTGTTGAATCTTCAAAGTGTGGGCATGGTGGGTAAACACCAAACCCAAACCAAACCTACTGCCACTGAGTTTATTCCAACTCATAACAACCCTGCAGGACAGAAGAGAACTACTGCAGAGGGTTTCTTTACAGAAGCAGACTGTGGATTTGAACCACCAGCCTTTCGTTTAGCAGATGAATGCCTTTAGTACAGCACCACCAAGCACAGCTAAACTTGTGAGGAAAACATGTCATTGATCAAAGCCATGCTGTCATTGTTAAAAGACCCTGGAATTGGTAGTGACTCGTAGTAACTCCACGAACAACAGAAAGAAACACGACCTGGTCCTCAGCCATTGTCACAATCACGGCTTTGCCTGAGGGCACTGGCACTGTGGCAATCCGTCCAGAGTTGGAGGTCTTCCTCTTCTCTGCATCTATCAAGCATCATGTCTTTCCCAGGGCCTGGTCTCTCATGATAAAATGCCCAAAATTCAAGAGACAAAGTCTTGCCATCCTTGCTTCTAAAGAGCAAGACTTTTCCAAGATAGAAGAAAAGGAATAATACTAAAAGCAACCGTAAAGAGGAGAAGCATTTCCTAAAGGGGAAGGGAAGGCTCACTGAGAATTCACTCTTACATAAAGTAACAAGAACACCAGCAAAACAAAACAAAACAGAACAAAAAAACTATTTAGGAATGCTGATCTCTCTCTCTCACAGGGCCACCATCATGGTCACCAGCCATGTGCAGGACTTCAAGCTGGCCAGAGTCCTCAAGATGCTGGGTCAGCTGGCTCCCGGGGACCATGCAAAGTTCATGGACAACATGAAAGGCAGCTTCCATGAGGGTGATGCCCACTGTACTGGACTCAGAAAAAGAGACACTGATATTATGCTCAGCCTATTTTTGGGCCCTGGATGACTGGTTGGCTCTGTGGCATGTGGAGATCATTTGTGATTCTTCAAAAAAGCATTTACATTGTCTTAGTTCACTGGGTCGCTATGAGTCGTCTATGACTTGACGGCACTTAACAACAGTAACAATGACAACATAGAGAGAACTACATTGGCCTAGTGGATAGAAAGTTGTCCTACCAAGCCCAAGGTGGGTGGTTTTAATCTACGGCTTTCAGGCCTGGTTTAAATTGGTTTTTGTCATACATTCTCCTAAGGGGTATAGCAATGGTCTGTACATTGCTGTACAGAGGTAATGCATGGTTGCTGTGATGCTAAACACTGTGACATTTATGTGTCAAATGCTCTAATGGTGACCCACAGTGGACAGTGTTTGGTGGATCTTCCCAATTAAAACAAGCTTGGAAGCAGGAGTGGCATCCACTTCCGAAATGGCCTGCCTCTGGAAACTCTATGAACAGTGCTCAGGTCTTCCATTCATAGGGTCACTGTAAGTTGTCTACGACTTGACAGTACTTAACAATAACAACAACACATTTAAAAATTTAGGGAGTTGTGATAGCCTGGTGGATAAAGAATTGTGATGGCCACCAAAAGGAAGGTGAGACGGGAAATCTCCTCCCATGAGGTTTAGAGCCTCTGAAAACCTGCCAGAAAGTCTGCTATGAGCCTCTGAAAACCCGCCAGAAAGTCTGCTATGAGAGGAAGAGAGAAAAATATCTAATATTATTAAAATTAACCAAAAATTTACAACAACACAAGAAGAAGTTATGCAAGAAAAATGGCTGAAACTCTTGGGGGGAAAAAAAACAACAAACAAAAAGAACAGGCTTAGAGACATTTTCACTTGCCCTTAAACCATCTGGTATGGTTGGGTGTGGAGGAGGGGATGTACCGTGGACTTCTGGGAGAACAAGCTCGTCATGAGAAGTACAGCCACAGTGCTCCTTGGAGGTAAGGCTGGCAAGACTTCATGTACTTTGAATGTGTTATTAGGAGAGACCTGTCCTTGGAGAAGGTCATCACGCTGGATTCTTGGAGGAGGAGATGGCAAGACTTTGTTTCATTGAATTTGGGCACGCTCTCAAGACGGGTCAAAAAGAAAGACACCCAAAATAAGGCAACGCACAAAACAGAAGGAAATGGTCGCAAGTCATATATAAAGTTCAGTGAAAAGAAGCATCATTACTGCCTTTGTTATCTAGTGCTGCTATAAAGAAATGCCACCAAGTGGATGGTGTTTACAAAGATTTACTTTCTCACAATTTAGGAGGCCAGAAGTCAGCATTCAGGTGTCAAGTCTAGGGAATGGCCTTGCTCCCTTTCAGTGTCTGAGACTTGGTTTTCCTTGGATCTCCGTGTGTCTTGGCATCAGTTTAGATGTTGAGTCCAAAGGAGACAATCTGCTTCTGGCTCGCTCTTTGTAGAAAGAGGTCCCACTCCTCTCTGCTCCATTCTCTCTCCTTTTATCTTTCTTAAA